GCCATTCATTGATTTGATCGGAACTACTGCAAGCCTTATTTCAATTTTATTTACTAACTGTTTGTTGTTAATGATGTTGAATAGTTCAGGTACGCGCAGTGAAGCTCATACTGCGTCACTGAACCGAACTGTCAACTCGATGGGATTGCTTCGCTCCCAGAGCGAGCATCCCTTGAACGAATATTTCAAATCCAGGGAGAAGTACTTGCAAAAGTAGAATTGTGTTAGGGGAAAGTACGGAGGCTCGAGCTCATGTGTACTGAACTCAATAGATAGTGCGCTAAATTTTTTCGTGTTGTCGGACGAGGGCTAATTGGACGTGTTAGAAGATAATGAGTTTTTGGGGTAAAAGTCTGAGGTGGAAGCTCGGAGTAGTCGGAGGAAAAACTTGTTCCAGAATTTTTTCTTTTTTTTTTTTATGGAAAAACCATGCCTAATTCTAACATACAAGGCCGGGTCCGCATTCACACGGGTAGGGGTCTATGTTGAAATCTGTTGGAGGTCGGTTTGTCCGGGCAAACAGCATCAGGTCACGAGAATGATGTCAGCTGAGTCAGCCGGACTTACATAACTAGCAATCGGCCGGACAGACATGCACCGTTGTTTGAGTTCCCTGCGTAAGGCAAACCTTCCAGTCCTAAAATTTGTATGTGCGAGCTGTTTCAGGTGTTGATGGATGGTCCCGGAGTGATGTGTTATGTGAGTGAGTCATCCCTCATTTGATTACACTTTTTAGCTTTTCCTCATCCGGCCCTCTCTGATTAGCTTTTCTTTTTTTACTATTTCTTTTCCGTGATGAAGTGAGATTTCGATATGTCTTTCTCGACTTCTCATCTTCCAACTTCATTTGAGCCGGCTTTTTAAGATCCCGAGGGATTTCATGCGGGCAAAACGGCCACTGATCATGTAGTCTCATTTGGCCGTTCAGTATTTTTCCCGTTTCAGTGCATCCATCCAGAGCAGCACACCGCTGTCATTAAAATTGTTATTGTCATTATTATTATCGTTATTATTGTTATTATTATTATCAGCATTATTATTATCAGCATAATTATTATCAACATTACTATTATTATCACTATCAGCATTATTATTATTTTTAATTACTGTTATTATAAGT